AGCGCTAGCCGCACCCCCAGCGGCTGTAGCAGCGGTGGTGGTGGTGGTGGTGGTGACTCGCATGAGCTCCTTAAGGCTGCGGCAGCGAGGCCTCCTCCTGCTACAGTCCGCTCCCACCAACCACTCGTCCTCCCACTCCCACTGCCCCGCCCGCTTGCCCTGCTCCTCCTGCTTCATCTGCTCCCCCCGCTTGCTCTGTTCCTCCTGCTTCATCTGCTCCTCCTGCTCGCTGCATTGCTGCGCCTCTTGCTTGCACTTCACTGTCGCCGGTTGGCACTCTGCGTCCTCCTTTTGAGGCGCCTCAATACTAGCCTCCTTCCTGTCTGCCTCTGCCTCACGCCCCTCTTTCATTTGCCCCGCCTGCTGCCCCTCGTCCCTATTCCCTGCCTGCTGCCCACCATCAGCGCATGTCGCTCTCTTATGTTTCCCCTCAATCCAGGTACCGCGACCGTCACTACTGGCACAATCCGCACCACCGGCACCGTCAGCACCATCAGCAGCAACAGCAGTGACCGATTTCATGAGAGCTGCTGCTGCTGCTGCTGCTGCCCCCGCCACTGCTGGAGATGCTGCTTCGCTGGCAATCACACCCTTTCCGCCAGTTCTTCCTGCAATCCCTCCTCCACTTGCTGCTGTCTCTGTCGCCTGTCTACTCCCACCTGAAACCGCCTCTTCTGATGCCAAATGTCTCTCCGTACCACTCCTCTCTCTGCCCTTTCTTTCCATGCCACTCACCTGTCTCTTCTCCTTCGGCCTATCAGCACCATCCACCACCACAGCCCCACCCGCACTGTCCACCTCTTTGCCATCTAAAGCTGCCCGCTTCTTTGCTCGCTTGGCTGCTGGCTCGTCTGCCACCACTCGCTCTCCTCGCGTTCCTTTCCTCTCCTCACCTGACTCCGCTACTACCCTCTTGCTGTCTGCATCGCCAGGAACGCGAGGCACTGCTTCTGCTTCGCCCTCTGCTTCTGAGTCTGCTCCCGCTTCTGCTGCTGCCTCTATCGCTGCTGGCTTTCCGTTCCTCTCCTCACCTGACTCCGCTGCCCTCTTGCTGCCTGCATCGCCAGCACAGTTCGCCACTTCTGCGTGTGTCTTTGCGTCTGATTCTGCTGCTGCAGTTGCCACTGCCGCTCCCGCTTCAGCACATTCTACCTCTGCTGCTGACGTGTCTGCTTCTCCTTGCTGCTGCTCCTGCTCCTGCTGCTGCTCCATCCGCGTGTTGTGCGCCCTCTGCTGCCCTTCCTGTTTGCGAATCCACACACGCCACCCTGCCTTGCACTTTCTCTCTGCACACAGCAGCAGCACGGCTGCCGTCCGCCGGCCTCTCCTCCCCCAATCGGCGCCTGTCATTTCCTCGCTCCTCCTCCCCCAATCTGCGCCTGTCATTTCCTCGCTCCTCCTCGCCCTCGTCACTATGGCACTGGACCTCCTCCACCGCTTCCCCACCCACCTCCCTCAACCTCGCCAACGCACCGTCCAATCCGCCTCTCCTGCCGCTTCTCCTCGCTCTTACGGCTCCCCCCCCACACCATCCTGCTGTTGCCTGCCCTACTGCCTCTCCTACCCATATTGCCTTCCCTACTGCCTCTCCTACCCATATTGCCTTCCCTACTGCCTCTCCTACCCATATTGCCTTCCCTAGTGCTACTGCCATTGCTGCTGCTGCCTCCCCTCTTGCTTCTGCCTCTCTTTCTACTGCTGCCACCGCACCGGTTGCTGTCTGCCCTACTGCGTCCAGTGCGCAACGCTCAGGAGGCGACGCCTGAGCAGCTACGTCCTCTACTTCTCGCGGATGAGGCCGCACCGCTGTGCGTCCCGCATCCGTACGCGGCAATTCCCGTTCCTCGTTAACAGTACTATCATGCTTAATAGTAGTATTAGTATGGTTGGTAGTAATAACATTATCACACCCCATAGTAGCCTCCTGATTTCGTTCCCACCCCATACTTACGGCCATCCGTTGCGGAACTCCTTTCCGCCATCGCCGCCCATGGGCACCCGCGCGCGGCTGCCTGCTCCTTGCGCGCTGGCGGAGAGCGGAGAGCCAGGGGGGTGAGGCACCCACCGCAGCGCCGAGTGTTTCCGCCAGGAATGCAGCCGCACCGACCATAACATGACCATAATCATTTCTAGTACTAGTACCAGCAGACATAGTGGTAGTCGTACTAGTGATGGTTTTCCCTGGCTCTGCGGCCAACGTTTTTCTTTCGCATGAGGCCACATAAGGAGGGTCGCCGCCAATTACCACCGCGTCTTCTATATCTTCCGAGCATTCCTGATCCCACACGCTCAGGCCCACCGTCTGCTCCCTTTCCGCTGCGGAGTTGCTGAGTTGGCGGAACCCTGTGGCCAGATGGTGCTGGGGCGAGGCGGAAATGGGGAGGTAAACTTCCCCTTGAATCTCAAAGAGGCAGCCGGCGGCACCGGCAAGTGCCGCGGCGGCGGGAGGCCATACGCTCGCTGGATGAACCGTTTCAGACGTTTTTACAGTAGCAACAGTAGGAATCGGCTCGACTGGCACAGACGGCTGCTGTTGCTGCGCCGGATCATGCAGCGCGGAGTCCAATGACGTCATGGTCAGAGCGATGGTCCCTCCGTGTGGGTGAGCTTTGCTGCTGTACTAATTGTGGTGGCAGTTCACAAAAAACCGATTAAATTACTAGTCTGATCAGACGATCTACCAAGGTACAGCTAGTAATGGTAGTACTAGCACACCTCGGCAAGTTGACGAGCCCTCTACTCACTACCTGGCGGACGTGCTATCCTTCGGCTCGTGATGAGAACTACTGGAACAGGTACCAGTTTTATTACCATTGTTGTAAATCTTGTAAATCAGCCCGATAAAGGTGAAAGGAGGCGAAAGTGGGAGGGAAGGAGGCGAGTGGTGGAGAGGAGAACAAGGACAGGTGGTGGAGCTCACAGGGTCATCATCGTTCCTGTCTGGTGCGACAACATAGGGATCATCGTGACGAGCATCGGACGGTTTTGGTGAATCGTGGCGTGATTGATTGCTGCGAGGGGTGGGAGAGGAGCAGGAGGGAGGGAGAGTTGCCTCCTGACGGATGATCGGCCTGGCGGCACTGTAGATTCTTCCCGATTCGGGCAGTTATTCCCTCTCGGAAAAAAACCGACGCGGGTCCTGGAATTACATTTTCCCCCTTTTTCGAGTCCCTTTTTCGAGCTGGATCGCCTCATTGCCCCTGGTCATGGATGTAAGAAACGCGTGGAATTTGTACCGTACACGTTTGTGGTTGTAAATTGTCACTGTACCTTTTCCAGTCAATTGTTGTAAGCCAAAACAGTTTGTACGCCTGGCGAGGCGAGGCGGGGCCAGTGTGGTGTGGCTGTGGGTGACTGGGATGGCTCACTTTCCCGCGTTTCTGCCCAACGATTTCGGCACTTCCCTAAACACCTCGGCTACACCTATAACGGGTACAACTCCTACTAACCACAAGCTTCTGTGATTTCCGAATCTCTGATTCCGGCGGCCTGCACTCCCTTGCATTTCACTTCAAGTTTCATCCCTGTCTTGGTAGTGATTGTTTTAGCTAGGTGTCCCTACGTCTCGCTCTGCTCATACAGTTACCTCACTGCTCGTAGATTTCGCTCCAGGGTTTCAATCTTAGGGTTCATCTCTAGGTTTCAACATGCATGCAGTCATGCACCGAGGGCCGTGTTTTAAGATTTGAAGAGCAGTTACGGCGAGTTGTACCCGAGGCGGGAAAAACCGCTATGACTACCAGCAGCAGCGCGTTATCCCCGCACCTGCTGCGCCTGCTCTCGGCTCTCCGCGCCTGGCTGGCTGCGCACGCTGCGCCGGATGCTGCGGGGACGAGGCCTCCGCGGCCGGCTTCCTCCGCGGAGCCGGTGGCTCCGCGAGGGGTGGTGCGGGGGCGGGCGGATGCCGTAGGGCGGGACTGCGCCAGGAGGGCTGCGCGCGTGCGCGTGGTGAGGGCTGCGGAGGCCGTGAGTGAGGGCATGTTGACCGCGGGCGGACGGGGAAGGAGGGGGAAGGGGGGTGTAACTGGCGCTGAGGAGAATCCGGGTGATGCTAAAGGGGATGTGACTAAAACGAAGGAAAATGTGACAATTAGTGCGGAGAAGAATGCGTGTGATGGCGCCGATGCAGATGCAGGGAGCAGCCTGACGTGGCAGGTGCTGTGTGACAGTGATGCGCCTCAACTTATGGTTCAAGCCATGGATGTTACGAGGTACGGGAGGCGGGGTGCAGTGTCAAGGTACGGTGGGAGGTGCATTGAAGGAAGACGAGCGGCACTGTGCGGTGCTGTAAGTTGGATCAAGGTTTTTTAAAGGTTCTGTGAGGTGCGGAAAGGTGCTGTTGTTGCGTTGTATTGCAACAAATGCGTCTGTTCCCTGCTGTTGATTCATCTCCCCAGCAGGTGTGAGTGCGCACGCTGCCATGCAGCTGTCACAACAGCCATCGCGCTGCATCACTGGCATTGCTCTTCCTGCTGCTTCCTCACCACGCACTCTCTGCGTCCATTCCCTCAAATGTGCGTCCATTCCCTGCTGTGACCTGTTGCAACATTCACCCCAGCAGGTGCGAGTGCGCATGCTGCCATGCAGCGGTAGCAGCGGCCATGGCATCGCTGGCATCGCTGCTCTTCCTGCTGTTGCCCCACCTCGCACTCACTGCCTTCTTCCCCGCCCCCGCCCCCGCCCCCGCCCCCGCCCCCGCCCCCACTGCAGGTAAGCACCCAAAACGTTAGACCGCTTTCCTAGACTCGAGAGGTCTCAAATCTGTGTTAGGTCGTTTTGTGTGACTGTTTTTCCTGCACAACTGCAGCTCATCTGTTGCCTTGCGGTGGAGCAGCATGTCACATTGGGGCCTTTTGTCACTTTTCTCACAAAATCTCCGTGTGCGCGCGCGTGCGTGTGTGCGTGTGTGCGTGTGTGTGTGTGTGTGTGTGTGTGTGTGTGTGTGTGTGTGTGTGTGTGTGTGTGTGGCCTCCTTGTTGCGTGCCATTGTTCCTCTCCAGATGACGCTAGGCGTTCAGATGATCGAGCAGCAGCGGCAACAGCACCACCAGCAACAGCAGAAGCAGCAGGATCGCCACCACCAACATGCATCAGCAGTGTGTTTTGCAGCGGGAAGCATTGCTACCAGCCATGTCTGCTAGCATGCCTCTGCTCGCTGCTGCTCTCACCTCCATCCTCCTCCTCCCTCTCGCATGCGACCACCGCTGCAGCAGCGCGCTGCATTGCTGACGTGGCGTCGTCCCCTCGTGGCGCCCACCTGGCTCGTCAGCACAACGCGCTGCACGCGCTGCTCTCGTCCCTGTGCGTCCTGCTGCATGCTCTGCTCGTTTCCCTGTTCTCCCTGCCTCCACCCACACCCTGTCGCGCTCTGTTCCTTGTTCTCTGTTCCCCGCCCTATGCCCCGCAGCATTCCGCTGTGCCTATTCCCGGATGCCTGTCGTGTTGCCCTGCGAGTGGCAAGTCATCGAAGGGCCACAAGGCAGCACGACAGGCATCGAGTCAAATCATCTGTTCCTTACCTGCTTATTTCTTGTTCTGTGCTCTCCCGCTCACTCCCACCCCTTCTGCAGTGCATGGTTTGGATTGGAGCACTTCCACAGAGCGTCACGGCAGAGAGATGGTGGGGCGGACGCAGTCAGGGGACGAGAAGGAAGACGCGGGGACTGTGGGGAGGCGGAGAGGGAGGAGGAGGAGGAGGAGGAGGAGGAGGAGGAGGAGGAGGAGGAGGAGGAGGAGGAGGAGGAGGAGGAGGAGGAGGAAGAGGAGGAGGAGGAGGAGAAAGGTGGGGAAGGGAGGAGTGCAGAGGGCCAGACACAGGAGCAGCTACACACACATGTGGACGCCCTGTGGTCGCTGCTCTTCCTGTCCCCCCCCCAACCCACCGATTCCCACTCTCACTCTCACCCACTCACATCCACCAGTTTACCTCTTCTCTCTACCTCTCCCCATCTCCTCCCCTCTCTGCCGCCCTCCCCCTTCCCCTCCACGTCCCCTCACGACCTCCCCTCTCTGCCGCCCTCCCCCCTACTCGCGTCAGCCCTGGCCGCGCTCCGCCGGGAATACTCCCGCATTCACAGAAAGGACAACTCGTGCCACCCGCAGCAGTCTCAGCTGGATGGCAAGCGGTGTCATCTAGCGGCTGTGATGGCGTGGGTGGGGATGGCGCTCGCTGTAAAGGCAAGGGGCGGTGGGGATGGAGAGGTAGCAGAGGGAGGGGTGCTGGAGGCTAGAAGGGATGTGACTGAAGCGAGAGTGAGTGCTGAAGCACGGTGCAGGCGAGCAGAGCAGCTGCTGGGCATGGCAGAAGGCTCATGGGCCGCCTTTCTGTCCAGTGTATGGGAGCAGCGCCCCTTCCTCTTCAGAGCGCGTGGGGAAAGAAGAGAGGTAGAAGATCAGTTACTCCCTGATCAGCAGTCTCTCATACCAGAGGGAAACCATTCCCGCCCCTTAAGCCATCACTTCTTGAGGCGCATAGAAAATGGTCAACTTTCTGTAAGAAACCACGGCCCCACTCTTGCTGCTCTGGTTGGCGCCATTCCACACCTTGGGACTGCCGATGGGCTCCTGGATGTTTTTCTGCCCGGGGCAGCGCACTGCCCTGGAATGAGCGCGGGTGAATCTGACCCGTTTGCTGCTCTGAGGGACATGGCCGTGGCAGGCGAGCTTGGGCGGCCCCTCTTGTCCTCACCTGACGTGTCATTTGTCCAGTCGCAGCCTTCTGGCATGGGGGAAACCACTACATCTCATCGTCCTGCTTCTCGAAAAGCTTCTGCTTCAGAGGCTGTAGCAGGGGGGGTAACAGCAGCAGAGAGGGTCGCGGCAACACAGGGCGACGCAGCAGTGGAGAGGCAATCAGTAGCAGAAGGGAGAGCAGCAGCAGATGGTGAAACAGATGGTGAAACTGATGGTGAAGCAGATGGTGAAACAGATGGTGAAACTGATGGTGAAGCAGATGGTGAAACAGATGGTGAAACTGATGGTGAAGCAGATGGTGAAGCAGATGGTGAAACAGATGGTGAAACTGATGGTGAAGCAGATGGTGAAGCAGATGGTGAAACAGCAGATGAGGAACCGGCGTGCAAGCGCAGGCGTTTCACTCCAGCCCACACACCTTCATACCCCTTCCGAGCAGCCTTCTCCCAGGGCAGCACCATCGCCCTCCGTAGCGTCAACTGCCGCTCGCCTGCCGTAGCCGCCCTCGCACACACCTCAACCACACCCCTTACCCTGCCAACGTTACCACCTTCAAACCCCTTTCATGCAGCCTTCTCCCACGGCAGCACCATCGCCGTCCGCGGCCTCAACTGCCGCTCGCCGGCTGTAGCCGCCCTCGCACGCGCCATCGCTGCCGCCCTCTCCCTGCCAGCTGTCGGGGTCAACCTCTACCTCACTCCGGGCGGCGGGCGGCAGGGCTTGTCTCGACACTGGGATGATCACTGTGTGCTGGTGTGCCAGGTGAATCGGTGCATGAAATCGCTTTGAGAATGCTAACGAATGATTCCGGGCGGCAGGGCTTGTCGCGACACTGGGACGACCACTGTGTGCTCGTGTGCCAGGTGGGTGGGTGGACGGGTGAGTCAGACGGCAAGTGGGTCGGTAAGTAAGTGGGTGGGCGCCAGGGCTTGTGACGATGCTGGGACGACCATTGCGTGCGGGTGGGTGGGTGGGTCGGTTGGTGGTTAAGTTGTTTGGTAATTAAAAGGGCGGGTAGCAGGGCTTGTCAAGGTGGGAAGACCACTGTGTGCTTGTATGCCAGGTGGGTGGGGAGAGGGTGAGTGGGTGGGCGTGTGGTTGGGTGGGGGGGCGAGTGTGGGGGTGAGTGTGTGGGTGAGTGGGTGGGGCGGTAGGGTGTTGAATACAGCAGGCGCAATGCATTGTTGTACGCCCTCCCACCTCTGTGTGCATGTGGCAGGTGAGTGGGCGCAAGCGGTGGCGAGTGTTCCGCCCCCTCTCTTACTGTGCATGCGCTCCCCCCCCCCCCCTAAACGTCAACATTGAACCTTGAACCCTTATCCCCCCCTCTCCTCGCGGCATGTTGTTGTGGCAGGTGAGCGGGCGCAAGCGGTGGCGAGTGTTCCGCCCCACGATGGGGAACGAGCTGCCCCGCCTCTTCTCTGTGCCAGGCCTTGAATCCACCAGCGCTGCTCTTGAATCACCCAGTGCTGCGCTTGAATCAACTGGCACAGGCGCACACACAGCAGGAAGAGAATCTGATTCCAATATAGCGGCTGATGAATCCAGAGGGAGGAATGCTGTGGCAGAGCATGGAAATGGTGTGAAAGCCCACAGTAGACTGCAGGAGGGCGCAAGAAAACCTGGCCAGGCAACTTATGAGATTTTCTCAAAGCAATGTGCATCGCGTGAAAGGGAAGGAGGAGCTGCGCATACTGATGGGGAGGGGGGGTGTTGTGACAGGCGGGGGGAGGAGGACCGGGGGTGGGGTCGCGTGGAGGAGGACGAAGGGTGGGTTCCTAAAGGGCAGGAGTTTGAGCTGAGTCCAGGAGACGTGCTGTACATACCTAGAGGGTACCCCCATGAAGCGTGGACTCCTCACGAGCCCTGCACTTCCCACGAGCCGCGCGCTCCCTATGAGCACCGGGATCGCACTCCAGTCGGGTCCCAGCAACCCCTTGCTGTGCGATCGCATGGGGAGCCATCGTTGCATCTCACCTTTGCTCTTGAAGTGGACTCTCCTTACACGTACGGCACTTTCTTGAGTCATTGTCGTTCTTTGCTTCCACGGCCTTCCTCTCTTGGACACATAGTTCGTACTTCTTGCTTCTTTGTTTGGTCTTCTTTGCTTCTCTGTTCGCATCATGCACTGTCTCTTGTTCCTGCCTTTCCCCATTCCCCCCATGCCCATACCCCCCATGCTCATTCTTCCCATGCCCATTCTCTCCTCCTCCATCCAGCTGGGAAGGTTTCTTCCATGCAGGGCTACGATGCTGGTCACACTCCCTCCCTCCCCACCGGAAGCTTCACCTCCTGAACCTGCCGGATTGCGAGGAGGGAACCGTAGAGCGTGACAAGAAGGGGGGATTCACAGGCACGAGCATTCGAGATGGGACTGGGAGTGTCAATGCAAGTGGGAGTGTCAATGCAAGTGGGAGTGCTGGTGCGAGTGCTGGTGCGGGTGCGAATGCAAGTGCGAGTGAGAGTGCGAGTGGGGGTGTGACGTGGGAGCAGTGTGAGTCGCTGCTCCATGCGCAGCTGTTCCAAGCAGGAGATTGCTTCCCTGAGCTGCGTGCCTCTTGCACAGCTACCGTTCTGCACCCCTTCTCACCCACCAACATGTGTCTGCCAACTGTCGATGGCCCTTTCTCTCATGTACTCCACCTGCTGAAGCAACCCCAGGTATTCTCATGTCCTCTGAAGCCTCTTTCCCAGCTTCTTGGATTCATCCTCCATACTTCAGATGAAAACCAGTGTGCTTCACAGGACCAGCAGCAAGCTTCTGCCTTCCACACGTGCGTCTCGTGGTTGGCCCACCCCCCTCCCTCGCATGCGCACACTCGTTTCCACATTCATAAGCACATCGACACATGCTTGCAACAGCAGCAGCGAAGGCAACAGCAGCAGCAAAGGCACCAGCAGTCGCAGCACCAGCAGCATATGCACCAAATGCAGGTGCACCAAGGGCAGCAGCACGACACAGCAGGTTCAAAGGCACACTGCCTGAGTCCCAGCATCTGCCACACGCTCGCCCGTGTCGCACGTGCTTTTCTGAGTGATGCAGAGGGCTGGGTGCCTCTCGCCAGGGAGTACGTTTGGTGCAAGCATGACTCGCAGCAATGCAACTATGAGGTCATGGAGGCTGCACTAGCTACACTGCAGGTTGATTGATAATCCCATTACAACAAGCGGTGGTGGACATGGTAGCTTGAAGTAATATGAATGGCAGCTTGCGGAATGCATGGTACAGTACAAGATATGATATATACTTTGTATATATGCAGTTTTGCTGTGCTGGTGATACCATAATCAATTTATTGTAGCCACATGGTCTATTTAAGCTTAATCAGTTTTCAACATCTTGGCGCCCATTTTCTTCTCCTTGCCACTCCCCTCCGCTGCTGCTTTCGCTCGTCGCTGCCGCTTCCTTCTAGCGGCACGGGACTGCTGAACCGCCGGCTGAGGTTCGGTCCGAACCTCAGGTTGTGCCCTGGTGGCATGACTGCCACCACCACAAGCGTTTGCTGTGCTGTGGTTTGGTTTACTTTCCATTTGCATTGTTGCATTCAGACAAGCCGTTGCCGTATCTGCTGCTGCTGTTGCCGGCTCCACTGCGGCTGCTGACACTGCTGGCGGTGCTGCTGCTGTTTCTGCTGCTGCTGCAGGTGACGCTGCTGTTGCTTCTGCTGCTGTTTCTGCATCTGCTCTTGTCATTGCTTCTGTTCTGTTGGCATTTACGGCCACATCAGAAGCGCCTGCCACGTCAGCAGCGCCTGCCGCCTCGCGCTCAAAGAGTGCGACGAAGAATCCATCGGTGCCGTCAGTAGCAGGATCCGTGCGCAGCACTTGGTGAGCTGAGGGTGAAGCGGGTTGGGGGAGGGGGGGGGGGGGAGGCTTGAGACGTCTCAAAACAGGCCTGGGCGAAGCGGAAGCCATGTTTTTTTAGAATACGGAAAAAACATACGGAGAGGAGAGAGAAGCAGGGGGCACTGCTGCCAGCATTGCCTCATTCTCCCCCTCCTGCAGGCCACTCACATTGTGAATCCCAGGGAGGGTTACTTTCTAAAAGAATTGCTTTGCTAGGCGGCTTGAGTTGGGAGACTCACCGAAGGGATAGGATGGGAGCCCTCGTCTGTGCCAGGCTGGTAAGGCTGAGGCGAGGCGAAAGCCACTGGAGAGAGCAGCAGGGAGCACTGCTGCTACGACTGCCTCGTTCTCCCTCTCGTTCACGGAGCACGTGCTGTAGGTGACGCGATGTGCAGCTGGGACTGGGAGGTGCAGAAGGGTGCCCAGGGGTACAGAGGGGTACAGAGGAGAAGATGGAGAGAAATTGCAGGTGTGGCTCAATCACTGTGCAGCAGGGAGCACGGCCGCCATGACTGCCTCTCGTTCTCCCTCTCGTTCTCCCTCTCGTTCTCCCTCTTGTTCTCCCTCTCGTTCTCCCTCTCGTTCTCCCTCTCGTTCTCCCTCTCGTTCTCCCTCTCGTTCACTGAGCACGTGCTGTAGGTGACTCGCTGTGCTGCTGGGACTGGGGAGTGCAGAGGGATGCATGAAGGTTCAGAGGGTGCACTGCCGCTACGACTGCCTCGTTCTCCCTCTCGTTGATGGAACAGGTGCGATGTCCGTATGAACATACATGACAGTACAGCTCATGTCAAACATTTGTTCCATGGGGAAAAACCAGAAATTTGTATCAATTGAGAGAATTCATAAGGTTTCAAGGTTTTTATTCTTATAAACAAAACCTTCTATTGTTTTTTGTGTAAGTAGTAAAGAGTCTTTAGTTATTTGACTTTTGACACCTCGGTGCACATTCATTCATGGGAGGTTTGAAAGCACGTACATGAGAGAGCATGCCTGAGCGCAGCTTCCTGGAAACGAGCCAGTCTCTCCACTCTCTCCTCCTCCTCCCCCTGGCGTCCGCTGCTGCCACCCGCCTCTTCAACCCCCTCATTCCCCTCCCCCTTGCCCCCTCTTCCCCCATCTCTTTCCCCATCTCTCCCCCTACCTCTCCCCCTACCTCTTCCCCCACTCTCCCCCCGCGTTCTCCCGCGCCCCCCGCTCCTGTCATGGGGGGAGGGGGATCCCTGAGGGAGCAGCAGGTCCCCTCGGGAGTGCCGAGTGCCAGAGCCCGAGCAGGAGGGGTCCAGCAGGATGGCCTGAACCTGGGAGTGGAGAGAGAGTAAGGGGGGGGGATGGAAGGGATGTGTACCACGCACGCAGCAAGCACTATGAGGTCCCCTTGGGAGTGCCGAGTGCCAGAGCCCGAGCAGGAGGGGTCCAGCAGGATGGCTTGCACCTGAAAAGGGCAGAGGAGGGAAAAAGCGTGTTGAGGGGAAGGACTCTTTGTGAGCGAGAGCAGGGAGAGGTACTAAGAGCAGCGAAAGACTGTCGCCTTACCAGCACAGCACAGGGCAGCTTGGCGCACGGCAGGGTGGGGGATAGAGGGACGCAGTGCCACACACACGAGACAGGGAGGGGGTGACATGGGGCAGAGGAGAGGAGCTCACATCCGCGAATTCAGGTGAGGTAGGGTCGATGGCAAGAAAATCCCCTTCATGCACCCGAGCACCTGGTGAGGAGGGGAGGGTGGTGAGGTGAGGAAGGGGGAGTGGAAAGGATGGAAACAAGGGGAGAGGGGAAAATTTTCAGAAGTTTCCGCAGCAGCACAACTCTCATCCCACTCACATGCGGTGAGCCGTCCTCTGTTTGATATGAGTGCAGACATTCGATGTGTGTGAGAGTTGCTTGTGTTGCTCGTGTTGCTCGTGTTGCTCGTGTTGCTCGTGTTGCTCCTGTTCCTCGTGTTG